GGAGACAATAGACACCGTAGCTAGTAATTAAGCGATGGTTTTAAAGGCAGAGAAAAAGCCACATAATCAAAAAAGTTTACACAACCTTTTCTGAAACTCAGACCACAACTTTTTGAAGATTTGTGAACATATCAAATTGTCATCAGCGCAATAATTGACCAGCACCTGGAACCTCTATAATTTAGCTCTAACCTCACTTGCCATTATTAGCAGCAAACCTGAAAATTCTGTCGAATACTATTCAGATCTTCTTTGACAAAAAATTCTTGATATTTCTTTGCTTCTTTTGTTATACGATGCTCATCACGGTAGAGATGCTGATGAACAGCCAACAGCGAATTTCGACAAACTCGATCATCCCATGCATCTCGCCAGCGCTCAGATCTCCTTTCCTACACATTTTCAATTTGATTTTTCGATACTTCACTTGAGTGTACCCTCAAAGTGTAGTCCGAATCATCCGTTTCGTAAGTAACCACTTGATGATCGGCCATGCCAAACATGGGAATTGTCATTGACATGGTGTCCATGAAACGAATGGCTGTTTTCTAAAAAAGTTTCAATGAAGAGTAAAATAAAGATATCTAAATTATCTCGTGAATTGTTTTCTACCCGGCATTGCATCAAAGACAATCAGGTCCATCGAATTAGCGTGGAGCGAAACTGGATGACACAATAGAAGTTACACTAGCCTTTTCAAGATAGCAGTGAAAATTAACATTTTCAGCAGTAAAAATTAACATTTTCCGTTTCAGTTTTTGGAGCTCGCTCGCTACCCTGCCTTTTGTCTTGCAGTTCCGTTGTACAGCAATTGTGAGATATACGCAGTGATTAGCGTGGTGGATAAGGCGCTCTTATTAATCCACAAAGATTGAGGCAGTTTGAAAAGATACTTGCGATGCACTTTTCTTTCGAATTTTCTTCATGAAAAATGTAAAGATGGGACCACATTGATCCCAGTCCCTTCCATAGTTCGTAACCTAACTAAATGATGATTTGAGCAAATTACAATGGTTAGAATTGTCATCCAGTCGACCGTAATCTACGTGAAGTTTGAAGCCAAAGTCAATCGCACTAAAAACGCCAGTGCATGGGCTACTCAATTCCATTTGTGTTCAGTGTAAACCACTAAATGTGTCTTACTGCATCTAGAACCTAATAATTCAAAACTCCACCTTTTGTAAGTACGGTTCCCTCGCTCTCGCTCGATCATATCCCACATTGTGTCCAATAACAATGCGTGCTTGGTCAGAGCCTAAATGGTCGTTGTGAGACAGAAGGTCACACCGAATTCCACTTCACCTCCAAGAGGTATGAGATGCTCAAGACGAACGGCGTTTGGCATGGGAGTGTCATTGACAAGGCGATCACTGCACCAGCAATACCTAGATAGAGCCACCACCAGTTGCTAAACTTCTTTCCTCGAAAAACCTTACCAAGCTGCTTCAGAGAGAGCAACCGCCAGAGTAGCCAGCTGGCCATCTTGTACACAAGTCTCTACGTCGAAGAAAAATACATCCTCGCAAGGATGATCCACCTAAATTAACAATGCATGGCACTCCAGCAAAAGTCAATGTGCCCGTCACTTTCAAAGATGTTTCAGTTCAGATATTACGGCTGACACCAGGAAGCACACCTACTGCCGCATATATTCTGATGGTGCCATTTTCAAAACAAAGCAGCATCGAGCATAGTCATAGATGTGAGAAAATTTCAAAAACTGGATTCACTGCAACAGCTTGCAAGTACCAAAAACGCCAGAAAACTCGCGTGAAATAACCTTTCCAAACGCTCGCCATGGGCGGCCTGATCAGTCAGCAATCCGCTGCTTTTTTGGGGGGCTAATCTTGCAATCGAGGAATCTCTTGTGGTGTTTTCCAGATGGCATTGACAACGGAGCGCTTCTTTATTCAAGAAAAAAAATTTTTAGTGTTCCCTAGGATTATCTGACATAGCTATGAAAAAGCTTTCCTGTTCTTGTTTGATTTCTTGCAATGATACTATTCACCTTCTCCACCACACCACTATGAGAATATCTCGTCCATCCTGTTTCAAACCTCCAGTGTGCTGGCTTTGGAACTTGCAGCGGAAATGCCGCTGCTGCCTCTAGCAATTCCCTGTACTTTTCGGTCAAATCCTCTGCGATTATTCTGCAAAACAATTATCAGCCATGAACTAGTCAGAGATCACTAACCTGAAGTGCTCCTGAAGAGAGCTTGATCTCAACGTGGGCAATTCGATTTGGTAAGATGGAGCTGTTGATGTGGATGGGACATCACTATTGAACAGATGACGATGAAGATATTCAGGGACGGTGGCAATGCGTTGAGATTTGAACTTAAACCTTTGTTTTTCAAAGTTTTCATGATTTTTAGTGCAGTCAATATTTTTCTTGTATAAGAAAATCTCGAAAATAATTTGTTTGTTGTCTGCTACTCAAAGCGACAATTCTGGACACTAAAACGCTCCTAAACGACAGTATCAGAATCATGCGAATTTCCAAACATTTGTTAGGTGTGAGATTCCGTTTAGACTAAAAGGTGAACAGTGTGTGTAGCCAGCGATGAAGAACCAAATGCAGACAAAGCTATACAGACACGGCCCTGCACAGAAATGCCCAGTCTGGTAAATATTTACTGACTATTCGCATAAGAGCTTTCAAACGGCACTAGCTGCTAAGCCAAACTATAATTTCGAGGGGAGGGGGAAGAGAATAATGTAAAAACCATATATGTGGGTAGCATTTAGAAAGCGGAAAAGCCCTGAAAGAATTCGAATAAAAACAAGAGAACAAATCTTGTGAAGACTTTGAGCAATAAAAGTCAAAGACTAACTGTAAGCTAGATTACCTCGGTCATAAAGATAATTCAGCAATGGCAATGCGTGTTAAGTGAGCGCGTTCTTATCGCCATCAAAAACCAGTTATTTTCAACTGATTAATCATGATGATATCATCATCGCAGATGACTCAATCGGCAAAACACTTGGCAGCGAGCAAAGAGGGAGTCTTCCACTTTGTAGCAGTGCCTTGAAAGCTTCTAATATACACTCCTTGCAGGAAGACCATTCAAGCTTCAATCATT